GCAGAGGTTTCTCGGTGCGGGAGCAGTACCGCTGCCTGCGGGAGGACCTGGCGGTGAGTGCGGAACCTCCTCCCTCTCCCCGAGCCCAGCGCAGGAAACCTCTCCCTGGTCGCACTGTGGGTGTGCAGAGCTGAAACCACTCCAGCCCCACCGCAGAGCTGCGGGCTCGGGTGCTTGTTTGTATTTGAAGGTGTTACAAAGGGTTGTTTGACTTAGTTCGTATCTTCAGTTGTAACTGGTGACCTCTTTCCAGGACGATCTCCAGCCCTTTGCAGGGAGAGTGTGTGTATGTGTGGTAATCGGCAATAAGCGATTCTGTCGTGGAAATAATGAAACTATTAATTATCCTCAGCTTGTTCTGTGTTCTTGCGAGTAATAACTTCCCCAAAGCTCCCCGAGTGCCCTGCAAGTGTTGCTATGGCTCCACAGCAGGGCAAGAAGTGTTCTATGGGTTAGTCCAGCTGATGAAATCCTGTATCTGTACTCCCTCTGCATGCTCTGGCAAGCAGAATGCACAGCAGGTAAGGCATTGGGAACACATACAGAGAGCTGGTGGAACACCCCACATCCATGCAAACTTGCCATTTTTAATACCTGCTGAATGAATATCAGAGAGGTTTGCAAGGCAAAATCACAAACACTGAATCCAGACTTCACTATGATTACTGTAGGACAGCGAGGACTCCGTAAGGAAACGGAGTTGGTGCTGATCTGTTATGTGTCTGACATGCTGTGCCATACACTTTCCCTGAGTTTATTGCTGGTTTTGAGATCCTGTACTGAGCCTGTAGGTTTTTACTGCTTAGAAATGACAACTCACGTTCATTTCCCTCCTGTTCCATGGTGAGGCACAGGCTCCTGCACCAGTGTGATGGACAGGACTGCTGGGTCCAGTCAGCATTTCCACAGGCTCCAAACTGCCTGAGCTCCAGTTGATCACTGTTGATGCTCAAAAGTTCCTGGAACTAGGAACCTGTAAATATAGGGAGTAGGAATGAAATTGGTTATTGTTTTACATCAATAAATATGATTTATTATTTAAATTAGCATTCCTGAAATTAATCCCATTTAGGTACACCTGGACAAAAAGAGCTGCAGGTCATTAAAAGAGTAATGGCTTTTTGTTTGTTCTTATTTGGAAGGTCTACAATCTGATCTATCCAGAACTTGTGTCATATTCTATTTCTGACATTCCTATTCCCTAACTTGGTTCAGGCTGATCGTGTTCCTCCCCAGACCTTAGGTGTGGCAAAGAAATAACTGGATCTTTGGTGTGAATCCCATGTGGATCAGCAGTGGCAGAAAGCTCTGACCTTGCTGGTCATTACCAGCCTGTCTTCCTAAGGAAATTAGCTTTGTGGAGCTCTGTGTGTATCTCCTTCAGTAACCTCTGGAGTTCTGGGCTGGTTTAGGTATATTTGGCAGAATAATGAAAGTATAAAGATTTGAAGCTCCTTTGGGTTTCAGGTAAATACCATTATTGAGTTTAAAAATACAGCCCTTGGTAGCTCTGCCATGGTGGTACAGGACATCTGTGAGGCAGGAGAATCCCTGTGGAAGGTCTCTCCTTGTCCCCAGCTTCAGGAAAAGCTTTGGCAGGAGCCAGCAGCCCAGGCAGGGAGGGCAGTTTGTCCGTTGGGTGCTGGGGGGTCCGCGGGGCCTCGTGTCCCTGCAGGGAAACTGAGTCTGCACTTTGTCAGCGCTGAAAGGAGAGGATCAGCTGGACACCAGGGGATCAGCAGGACACACACCAGGCTCTTTGTGGCAGGTGTCTGCTCTGTGTGTCCATGAGCTGCCAGGGCGTGGGATGCTCTCGTGACAAGGGGAAGTGCTGTGGTAATGGTTTATGCATTGCCTCTTACTGAGTGGTGTTTATGTTTTGTCAGTGCTGAGCAGCTGTGCCTGAAACTTGAACCATTGCTCGGGGTTCTGTTTCTGTTTTGCTTGTAAGTCGATCATTAATTTCACAGTGTAAATCTGTTTTATTTAGAGTGACTTTTAGTCCTTTTCATTTTGTTCAAGGCTTTCTATGCTGCACTTGCCTACGTGGCCTTGTGTGTGTAGTCATTTTGTTCATGGGGATTTAGCTCCCAACAGTTTAGGATTTGTTTTCTAGTCCCAGATAGTTTTAAACATGGATTCAAGATCTCCATCAGTGGCAAAATTGTTTTTAAGTGTTGCCAATGGGAAAGCTAAGGGATAGATTAGTCCCTCCAGTTTCATATCCACGTTGTTATTTTGCTTATGGAAGTTCAAAGGAAGTGTTCAACAATGATGGCATGAAAATGAGGAAACAAAATGGTTTTACTTGCTTTTTCTAGTCACTCTTTCTGAGGGGAGAAATGGCTTTTGGTTCTAAGAGTCATCAAAACAAATTTCTTCCTCCAGCAAAGCCAGACTTCTTTGTGATGTGGTGGAAACTTGCCAGTTTCTGGTGTCTTGCTGTAGGATAAAAAAGCTCTCAGACACAAGCCCTGAGCCTGTAATTCAATCTCCTTGGGAAGAGCTCCAGGGAATTGTTGCTGGGATCAGGGAGGCTTTGCATGGAAGCAGAGATCTGGGCAGATCTGATTGCCACGTCTGCACTTAGACTCCTTAACCTCTTCTGATTTCTGTGTGAAGTCAGGCAATGCTTCCAAACTTCTGCCTGTTGAGGTATGAGTATTAGATGATGATGATAGTGGAGTGAGCCCTGGGAGAGTGGTTTAATGCCAGCTCCTTCTCCTTGCTGCTTAATTGCAATGGGTTCCATGTGGATGTTCCACTGGTGATAAGGAGCAAGGAGACCATCAGCTCCAATCTGAAGCAACTTTGTCCAGCTCCTGAGCAAAGGCTGCACCTCCCTTTGGAGAATACTGACTGAAAATGAAGTTTTCCCAATTTACCAGTGGCCTGGGAATGTATGACTTTAGTGCTTGCAGAAAAATGCTGTCTTGACACCTCTGATGTTCACTGTGTGATGCCAGGCAAGGCAAGATTCATGTGTCTCAGGGTAGAAGAGATATTGGAAACTTAACTTTTGTGTCTGAGGGTGAAACTCAGGCCTGGAAGTGGCTTCATCCCTCAGTGCTGCTGTGGGTCCTTCTCTGTGATAGGGTGTGTGATAAGGGAGGGAAAACCCATCTGCTGTGAGCTGCACTGAAACACTCTGGTTTAACACTCTGGTTTAACACAGGCCACTGAACACTCATCAGGGAGCAATCTCTAAAATTAACTAACCAGAACTGAATTTGAACCAGGGAATCACCTAATAATAAAAGGTGTGAAAATGTCTTCTCAGTAAATTAAGACTAAAGAAGGACTGAAAGGACAATCCTACTTGGAGCACAGGAATTGCCCTGGAAGTACTTTAGAGATGTCACTGTCCTGCATCCTATTAAATACCTTTTTAGTCCCGGGTTTTGCCTACTTTAACCTGGGAAAGCACTGCTCCTCCACTCATTTAAAAATTACCTTTAGAGCAAACCTCGATTCCCACTTGTTTATTGTTAGACCTCTCTGACTCACATGGCATCCCATGTGCCTGCATGGAAGGAGTGCAGACAAAAAAAGGGATAAAGCCCTTAACTGCACTGCTAAGGCCTCATGCCCTGAGTCAGGTGAGGGGAGTGTGTCCCACAGCACCCCCAAACCCAGCCCAGCTGGGGCTAGGGGGTTGCACAGGTCACCTCATGGAGCCAAAGGTTCTTGGGGAAGTGCAGGGATCCAGCTCTGCCCTTCCTGCTGCAGTCTCACACTCTTTGGAGCAGACTTTGCACCAGCCATTACCACAGAGGAGCAGCTCTCCATCCATGCTGGAGTCAAGATCTGCTCCTGTAATGGTTATTTTAGTGTGTGGTTGGGAATCATGGAAAGCAGCAGACACAGCTTTCCCAGCACTCCCATCCTCTTCCTTCCCTGCTGCTGGACTGAAAGGATTCACCCCTGATGTGTGGGTGTGCTGACCTGGCCCTTCCATTGAAGATGGCCATTGGCATGGTCACCTCGTGGTCCTGTTTAAAGGGAAAGGGCTGTTGGGCAGTGCCTGTGTCTGCCCAATCATCCCTGGTAAACTCCTGAGCCATCAGCAAATCTCAGATCGATGTGACACAGGAGCAGAAGTCTCGAACTTGTTCCTTTGGTTTTTGCAAGTGTCAGTCAAGAGAGACCCTCTGGGAAGGGTGAGGTGGGAGCTCTCCCTCAGCCAACAGAGCTGTGGGTCAGTGCTGTGTCTGCTCACGGAGCAGCTTGTGGGAACAAAGCCAGGACAGGGTCAGCTCTGCCTCCTCACTCCTCACGAGACGCCAGGGACTATCATCTTGTTCTTGTGTGCCTGAGCTGGACTTTTCCTGGAACCCAAAAGGTGAGAAACTTTATAATCCACTCTGGGCGGGAAACATCACCTTCCTCTGCTAAGCACCAGCCCTTTGATGGCTGTTCCACAGGGTAACAGGACAACTGCTGTGCCAGAGCTCGGGTCAAAGCACAGGCATTGCTAACTGTCCTCTGTCTCTTGCAGGCCAAGGTAGCCAGTGTCTATGAGTCACCTGGCTTCTTCCTGGAGTTGGATCCAATCCCAGGAGCCATTGAAGCTATGCAGGAGATGATCCACATGCAGGAGTAAGGACACTTTGCAGCCCTTTGCCATTATCTTACACACTTTCCCCTGCCAGCTAATGAAGGATGTTTCTTTTCAGCACTGAAGTCTTCATATGCACAAGTCCTCTCCGGAAATATGAGCACTGCATCGTGGAGAAGGTGGGAGAGAATTAATTTCACTAGTTTTAATGCTGCTTTTGCAAGGCTTTGCTGTTTCCCACCAACCAAGCTGGAGCCATTAATTTACAAAGATAGTAGCTGCTCTGGCTGCCAGACTTCCCTCAATCCCTGTTGGAGGGACAGCTGCCCAGGCACAGAGCAGTAGTGCAGGACAGGGAATCTTGGATTCCCCTGTCATGTGCTGCCAGCCTTACTGTGCAGCACATGAGCTCTGAGCTCTTGGAGCTGGGCTGGGACCAGCTGTGTCAGCAGGTGATAGCAAAGGAAGTGTTGTAGATCCTCCCCAGGGGATTCCACACTGGAGAATTCTTGACCAACAAAACCTTCTTCTGTCTAAATCTGGAGCCTGACACATCCAGCTAGCCCAAAAGAGGATTCTGAGTTGAGGAGGCTTGAAATTAGTCCTCTTTGCCAGTGGTATGAGAACAAAGTGGAGACCTTGATCACTGGAATGACTTAGATGGGCACAACCCATGTGCTCTGGGCAAGCAGCCAGTGCTGCTCACAACTCAAGTTTGGCACAGGAAGTGCAGTGCTGAGTGAACACTGTCACACATACAGGCTAAAAAATCCGAGTCCTGGGCTGTAGCCAGGCTGTATGGCACAGATTCCTAGACACAGATGTGGGTTTATGGGGGGAAAATTGCTGTATTAGGGCTGATCTGGCATGAGTGATGTGTAAACTGAGAGTACAGTGGGATTTTCTCTGCAGTATCAGTGGGTAGAGAAACACTTGGGGCCTGAGTTCGTGGAGCGCATCATCCTCACCCGCGATAAGACCGTGGTGGCTGCTGACTTGCTGTTCGATGACAAGGACAACATTCAAGGTTTGAACAGCATTTCCACCCCTTGCTGCTAACTGGGGAGTCACTCCCAGCTGACTCCAGCTTTATCCTTTGTCCCTCTCCAGGTGCAGAGCTGAACCCGAGCTGGGAGCACATCCTGTTCAACTGCTGCCACAACAGGCACGTCCAGCTGCAGGCCCCGCGCCGGCGCCTGCTCTCCTGGGCAGATGACTGGAAGGCCATCCTGGACAGCAAGCGCAGGCAGTAGTGCAAGAAGGGGATGCTGAGCTCTTCCCACTGCCAGGGCACCACTGCTGGCAGGGAAACCCATTCCCAGGAGGCAGCAAGCACCATCACCTCAGGGGTCAGATATAATAAACAACGAGCTGTCCCTGGCTGCTCTCCAGGTTTCTGGAAGATTACTCTGCACTCAGCTGATCTCAGAAGCATTTTGGATGTTTGCTGTTGGTGAAGAGAAAGTATAAAACACAAGCAGTGTTTTGGTTCTACAGTGGGTTGGTTGGATTTTTGTGTATGTGTGTTTAACCTCGCTCCTGTTTGGTTTGTGCTGTCTGGGAGTGGAAGGGAGTTAAAAAAGAAGGAAAGCTTGAGCAGACACAGTGTGGGTGTCTGTCAGGGAGCACTGGGCTCAACAGCCAAATCTTTTGAATTTTATGTACTTAGCCACCCTGGCTCTTGGGTTGCCTCTTGGTTCATTGGCTGATAATGAAAGGAGACCAAGTTGGCTTCACTTTCTAGCCCATGTGTTTGAGTAAGAGTGGGCAAAGGCTGCAGGTGCTGGAGAAAGTATTTATGAGCTCATACAGAACTGATTACACAGCATTTAAGTTAATGTTTTATTAAGAGAAGGTTTCACAGAACAGCTGTTGTCATGAGGCAGACTGCCATGAGCCCTTTTTTTTTTAATCTTTACCTTTCAGTGGTAATGATAGAAAAACAATTTCCCATTTCTTGATTTCTAGGACAGCTACAGCCTGCCCTGTGCCATGATGAGAGGATGGCATTAGTACCATAGGGATGGAGCAAGACTGTGAACTGCCAGGGCAGGAAAACACCTTTCTCTGCAGGAGGAATAAATATCCATGACATTTCAAAGTCATTTGAGTTGACACTCAGTTGTCATTGACGCTTAAGGGGAGAGCTGCAGCAAAACCAGCCAGGCGCTGGAGGGGATATAAGTTGCCCAATAACCCAAGCAGGACGAGCCCTCCTTGCTGGGAAGGGTGATTTGTGCACACTGGGGGCTGGGCAGCACTTGGCAAACTGCTCTGCCACAGCTATGACCTGCTTGATTTTAAATATTTGCCTGCAGTTTTTGCTGTGTGCTTGGCCCAACTGACATGGTAGTGCTGTACCATCCTCTTTATTACTAAAACCCAGTGCTGGTATAGCCAACTTCCCTCTGGAATGCTGGTTTTGACACGCTCTTGACCTGCTGAGCAGCGTCAGCCTGGGAGAACAGAGGGAGGTTTTCCTCTCAACAGCTCCAGTGTCAGTCCTTGGGGAGAGGAATCCCCACTGCTGTGTGTTTGCTGAGATTCCTGGCCTCTTCCACCTGTGGAGGGGTGCAGTAGTCCTCCAGGAAGACAGACGCCAGGTTGCTGAGGCGCCTGTTGGCCGAGAGGGAGAAGCGCAGCATGCACTCCACCACGGGCAGAGCCGTGGTCTGCTGCCGCGACTGCGGCGTCGTCAGGAACATCAGCGTCGTGACAGCTGACACCACAGTCTCCTCGTTGGGGCTGGACAGGCAGTTGATTATGGGCTCCACGCCATTGGCCTCCAGGATGTAGTCTTTGTTAGTTTTATCCAGGCATAGGTTACAGAGACCACCTGAAACGGGAGAAGAAAGTGACTGACACCTTCAACACAAACTCTCCTCTTCACACCTTCTTTCACATCAAGATTCAGATTCTCCACTTGTCCTGTTTCCAATAGAGAAATAATAATCCAGGTCTTCTGTGAGATATGGATGGAAAATTCTTAACGGTTCTCTGAGCACTGTTTTCTTTATCCTTTCCAGGGATTTTCCACCCGCACATTCCTGATCCTGACTGTTACTGCTGCACAGAACTGCTTCCAGGGAATGCAGAATTCCAGCATCACTTATCCCTAAGGGAGGCTACAAGCCAGCAGGGTATTGCAGGTGTTTTAGGAAACCAGAGAATGGAGCTCACAGTGTTAGCCAAGAGGCACTGAGTGTTTGAGCTGGAAACTTTCAGATGCATCCACAAACCTTGAAAACCAAACCCAGTTATTAGCATCTTATGGAATCACTCACAGCTGGAATCTGTTCCCTCAGCTCATGTCCAGACTGTGACAAATCACCGTAAGGGCAGGTTCTCAGAGGATTTATTAGAACATTTCAAGTAAGTACTCTAGAAGATCAGTTTTCAGGAGCAGAATGGTAACACTGGACCTGCCAATATACCTGGCAAAATGGATGTGTTCATCACTGCTTCTCCATAGGAGAGATTGCAGTAAAAAGTCATTCGGGTGGTGTTTACTTACAGTCCAGGGGGAAAAAGCCAAAATCCTTTCCACAAAGTGTCTTCATTAAGCACAGCAGCTCTGTCAGAACACGGGGGGATGTGGCTACCTCTGAATTCTCTCCCCATTCCACACATTCTGCACTAAATGAGGCTTTCCCAGCATAGTGTGGGCTGGTTTTCCCACCAAAACAAGCATGGGACACAGTGTCCCTTGACCTGCCAGACAGGTGAGGGTGTTCAGGGCATCCTTACCAATGGCAAACTCCACGAGGGTCTCATTGTCCTCAGTGAGCATATCGAGGAACAGATCCAGCACCTGGAGCTGCCGCAGGTACTCGTAGTTTTTGGGATCGTAGGCGAAGTTGGCCAGGTTTGCCAGCACCTGCTCCTTGGCCTCTGCAAGGGAGAAGCAGCATCATGTGTGAGGAAATGCTTGACGTGATGTGTGTGTGCAAGGCACAGTGCTGAGCTTACCTGTGCTGTCTGTGGCCTGGAACTCAGTGACCAGAGCCTGCAGGTACTCCAGGCGCCCCAGCTCCATCACGGGCACCTGCTGGGATCCTCTTCCCTTGGGACCACTGGCTGTGGGCAATGCTGGACCACAGGCAGTGCTGGATCACAGGCAGTGCTGGATCACAGGCAGTGCCAGATCACTGGCAATGCTGGATCGTGGGATAATGCTGGATCACTGGCAGTCCTGGATCAGGGGCAGTCCTGGATGTCGGGCAGTGCTGGTTTGTGGGATAATGCAGGATCACGGATAGTGCTGGACTATGAGCAATGCTGGATCGAGGGCAGTGATGGATTGGGGCAGTCCTGGATCACGAGCACTGCTGGTTCGTGGGACAATGCTGGATCATAAGCAGTGCTGGACCACGGGCAGTGCTGGATCGAGGGCAGTGCTGGACCACGAGCAGTGATGGATCGAGGGCAATGCTGGACCACG